GAGTTGAAGTCCACTCATCTTAAAGTGGCCAAGTTTGGACAACACTGCTCTAATTATTCTCTGTTATCAGCCCTCTAGCAATAAGGCACTTCCACCTCTGCCTCTGCTTCCTTGCTTTCCGCATCCAGGCCTCTGTCATTGTCATCTGTTTCCTAATTCTTTTGCAATCCCACTAAAAAGAAAGATAAACTTCCAAAGTTGCTACAAGCATTTCATAACTTGACCATGAGTGCAGAAAAAGCATCCTGGATATAAAATTTGAATTTATTTGTTTGAAGAATTGTCGTCTCATTTGTCAACCACAAAGCCCCCAATGCAAATTACAAGACAGTGCAATCTGTCAAATTTACAATCCAAACAGTTCAACACACAGGAAGAGGAATGGGAGGAGGAGGAGGGCAAGTGTAGGAACTAGATTTTAGTTGCTGAATGTTTAGGCATGGCAAACTGAAGATCTCCATTTTTTCAACTGACTTAAATTTTAGAGTTTTTCCACACCACTGAAAAAATTTATTTTTAGGTGACTTGTGGCTGGCCATTCGATTATATGAATCTCTGTGTTATGCTGAGCTTTTCAGCTTCTCACTAAAATAAGGCACTGTATTCACAACATTTTTCAAATACACATGCCTATAAAGTATTACCAGCTAGATGCATTTATTGTGAGAAAATTATACTCTCTGGAAGCTTCTGTCCAATTCTACCAGTGTTACACTGTAATTCTGCAACTTTATAACTCAAAAATTCAGATCATAGAGCAAGGATGTTCCATCTCTCTAATCTGAAGACTGATCTTATCTTTTACATGGGATGCTGGGGAGTGGGGTGGGGGCGTAGGATGACAGAGGTGCGGCCAAGGTCAGGATTGGAAAAAGAATATGTATTCCATTTCCTTTTAATTAAAATAAATGTAATTCAGTAAAAATGCTTACTCCCACTGTTTAATAATTTGTCATACTTAGTCACATTAAATATTATAACATTAATACAGAGTTAATGTTGAGTATATTTATTTAATACAGCCTAGCTGATATGGAAATCAGTAGTAAAACTTAGTGTTTATTAATTTATAGATCCATCCCATTTAGACTGCTTGAAATCTTCAAATTGATGAGATGTTCAACAAAGGTAAACCATCTTCTTATCTCCTAAACCAGCCTCCCCAATATTGCCTCCTGCAAGTCCCTAAGCAGCTGCTCAACATAGGAACTGCAGGACCATTTCACTGATTGACAGATGATAGTGACCAATACTGCCATTATAACTTCTACGTGTGATTTTTAAAGGACGCTTAGAATAAGTGTTAATTGCAGCTGAGAATTTTTTCTGTGCCTTTTTATGGCGAACATCTTTAAATCACCAAAGTAGAAAAATATGATGAATATGATAAATCAGGAATTGAAGTCCCATGGGCCAAAGCTAGTCCCCAGGAAAATGCTGTAGTAGCTAACCTTGATGCAAATCCTATTGTAGAAAAAGGCACTATTCTAGGAGTTGATATACTTGTCTGCCAAAAATGCAGCCTTCATTTTCCAAGCTGAACCTTCTTACCACCACTTGTGGACAGTTAATGTCAAGAGATAAAGTCCATACACATTAATGCTCATGAGTACGCCCCATATTTGACAGGCAGAAAAGAGTTAGGTGAACCAGTCTAGAAGGTCTTAGGAATATGTGTGGAATTTAACATTTAGTACTGATAAAATATGAACAAGATTAGCAGAAATGAGTACTGCCAGAAGGAGAGAGAGCAAAAATCCAGCCAAGAGGTGGATGGAATCTAGATTAAAGACTACAATCAGCAGTCTCTTTTTAAAAAGTCTACAACATTAACATGTCCCTGTGTCACTATGCAAAGAAGCCTCTCTGATGTACTAGACTGCTATAAATGAACAATACAAGAGGACAAATACACATGTACTTTTTGACCCAGTCTACTTAATGCAGTGTTGTCCAAACTTGGCCACTTTAAGATGAGTGGACTTCAACTCCCAGAATTCCCCAGCCAGCATGGCCAAGTTTGGACAACACTGACTTAATGTATAGAATGGTTACTACAAGATGTAGCAAAGACCACCAAGCAGACAGCCTACTTTTCTGGTTGGCGGATGGCTTCTGGGTGGCCACTTCAGGAACAGTGCTGGGCTAAACAGGCTGTTGGCAGTATCCAAGGTCCTTCTTCCTATAGTTTATGATCAGTCAGTCTCATTCCAAAGGGCATTTGGGCAGGAAATCTCAACTTACTCTAGTCCCTGGAGTTCATGTAGAAATTACAGGAATGGATCCATCTGCCCTGCTGATTTCCCATTCAAGGATCCAAGAAAAAAAAATGCATGCAACTTTTCCCAAGGCATGCTAAAAGAGCCAGGCTAGGAAGCAGGCAATTGGAGACAACCTTAATTAAAGAAGCACTTGCCAATTCTCCAGTTATTTTATGCTAGTTCAGCTAGATTATGCATTTTTGAACAACAGAGGTATAAAACAGAAATATCAGTATCCATACCCAATATGGATCTTCAGATAAGTAATTTTGAACTTTCCTCGCCACATTTTTTTTAACCATCACAAAAGTTGCCACTTCCCAGTGGAAGCTCTCCCCTTTTCCTCTTCTTCCCCAAATCTCCTGTTTGATTAGACCAGTCAACCGCCTTTAACAGGAGCTCCTGCAAAGAACCCACTCTGATGTGGAGGCACCCCTGCTCTTCTGTAATATGGATGGATACAGAATTTGAAGGGCCCCAACATCTCATCTAATCCAAATGCATTTCTCATCTGAAGCACAGATGGAGAAAAAGCACCAAGTAACAGCACTGTCAGGTAAAACATTCATATCAACAGCAGGAAACAAAAAGTTTTCACTTGCAAAGGAAGGGAGAGAGTGGGATTCTTTAAAGTACTTTCCAAAGCACTTCTAAGTCTTTTTGGTTCTAGCAACCAAATTCGTAAGAAGGGGAAAACTGTTTTCCAGAAGGAGAAGGAGAAGGAGAAGGAGAAGGAGAAGGAGTCCAGCCCAGTACCTACCCCATTCAGGATCGGGGGAGATGAGAGATTGCTGAGCTGATTCTCATCCAAGTTGGAGCTCACGGAGTCGAAGGATCGACCTCTTCGGGGCAGCTCGAGTCTATTGGAGTACATGATGAAGCCGAGCAACCCCCACTCGACGTAAAGCAACCAGTGTCCGCACCGTCCACCTCCTCACTTCTGCTGCTTCTGTCGCTGCTACTGGGCTATTTATGGGCAGGGGAAAGGCGGAGGGGCCCAGGGCAAGGCTCCAATCTCTCGCCCAGGCTAACCGGGGCAGGGAGGAGGCGGGGCGAAAGCGACGCCCCTCTCCAGCCTTCACGTGAATGTAAAGGAGACATTCGCAAGAGAGAAGCGGCCATCCAGTCTGCAGTCTCCTAAAGGAGGTCTGCCTGCCCAGGAATAAGGCCATGGTTGTCCCCTCGATCCGTCTCTCCTGTCCAAGGCAGCGTGATGAATTCCCTTCTCGAACTTTTTGAACTTCTTGAACTGCCAACTTTTTCTTTCTGCCTCGGTGGGGCTCAGGCGTCCAGCAAGTATGTGTCAGGCAGACATTCAATTGGTATGACTTCCCAGTTGCTGCGGGAACTCTGCCATGAAAAACGGGAAACATACACACACCCCAGTTTGTTCTGTCAGGAATGGGTGACACGTTTGGCGTGGTGGTTATAGTGTTGGATTAGAAGCAGGGAGGGCCATGTTCTAGTCCACCCTCGGCACAAAAGCCCACTGGGTGATTTTGTACCAGCCCCTCTCTTTCAACTCAATCTACCTCACAGGGCTGTTGTTGTGGGAAAAGGGCGGAAGAGCGAAGATTTTGTATGCATGACATCTTGAGCTGCTGAATGAATGTTGGATATAAATCTAACCAATAAATAAATGCACACACAGAAAGTGTTGGAATGAAATAAAAGCCCTCTCTTCCTGCCTTCCACTGGCTGAGCCAATCCAATTCCATTAGGCTTGTTCTGCTTCCTGTCTGGTGCTTAGAGAGTCATGTGGTGCAGTGGCTAAGGCGTCGGACTAGGAGAGGGATCTGGTTTAAAATCCATTTCACCTCTGGAGGTTTAGAGGGTGGTTTAGTGCCATCTGCTTTATCCCAAAGCTATCTACTTCACAGGGTTGTTGTGGGGCGAGAGTAGATATTGGAAGATGGAGAGCTCAGTATGTTAACCTGAGTTCTTGGAGGAAAGGCAGACTATAAACCTAACAATTAATAACACACAGTGCTGATAAATCAGTATTTACTATTAATCTCACAGGAGCACATCTGGATGGATTTGGGTTTAAATCCGTGGCACCACTCAGCCAAATAGCTGAGAAATGATGACTTATCCAAGCTATCCACTGAATACCAGACATGACAAAGAAACCTTTCTTATATCTCCATCCCATAACAATAATTGATTCCATCTTCTTTCCCTCACTTCCATCCCCTGAACTGTTATAATATTGTGATCATATAAGATGAATCAGAACCTAAAAGCCAAAATATAATTTCAGTTCACTATTTGGAGAAAAGGACGTTCTCCACATCTTGCATTAGAAAATGCACTCACAGAAATGGAACTCAGCTGATCCTTGAACCAAATCTGAACTCTCTGACAGACAGGATGCAGAGATGCAGAAGCGCCTATGTGCACTGAGATCACCTGGAATACACTGTGGAATACATGTGTATTGTTCCCTGGGCATGAAGAAATTGCTTTATGAAATCCCTTTGTATTCTTTTCTCTAGAAAATCTAATGATTTCCCCCCATAGATGGCGAAAGAAAGAAAGAAAGAAAGAAAGAAAGAAAGAAAGAAAGAAAGAAAGAAAGAAAGAAAGAAAGA